GAATGGGTGAGTTAGTGCAGCATGGGATTGCATGGTTCTTTGCTTATATGCATCCGTGATTGTGTGTCTATGTGTAGTGTGTGTGCGTGCGTGCGTGCATGTGTGTGACCATTAGAGGATCACACACTTGCCCTTCTCCACCCAGGGGTTGGCTCTCATCAGCTCAGGGTTCAGAAATGGATCATCACACACACACCCCTCGATCCACTTCACCAGCCTACAAAAATAAAACGCATAAACACACGGTAAGCACGGAACTGATACTGAATACTTAGAGTGTGTGTGTGTGTGTGTGTGTGTGTGCACTCACTCAGTGACGGTGATAGAGGATTTCTCTCTGTTGATTGCCAGCTGATACTGAAGGCTTTCTACTTCTCTCCTCATCTGTGGGACGTCTAATTCCTCCATGATGCAACTGCTTTAAACACACAAAAGAACATTTACAGATTTAAAACAAAGACAGATTTACCACAAAAACGTATCTGGAATAAAAAAATACAATGTTTTGTTGCAATTTAAGAATCATTCTCAGGGTTTGTCCAAGGTCTGGAAAGTTCAGGATATTCTTCTCAAACCAAAAGTCTTGAAACATGTCTGAATGAAACAATCCATCATATTTCTTTGTCATAAATTACACTGAAAACTGTGACTGTTTGACCTGAAGCAGAAACATGTTTCTTTCCTCTTGTTAAGTCACATCGTGACCTCTTGGTGGGAACCACTTGGATTTATATCTGAGGAAACCTTATAAAGACCAGATGGTCGCCACTTTGGAGAGTTTCACTGAACACCAGAGGGAAGTGGTTAATGGGACATTCGTGTAGGAATAGATACTGACAAAATGCCAATATGACCCTTATTTGAGACCATATGTAACTTGCTGTGGGTAGTTTAAATATTGTCAGTAGCAGGACTAGTGAAGGAGATTCTCTGTTTATGATATAAATGAGATTAAAGGAAAAACGTTGCAATAATTCGAAACAATTCTAACTCAAACTATTTGAATAACTGCGAAAAACATACACTGTATATATCAAGTGTGAAAATGGCAGATATAACTGTTCCTAATATCATATAAGGCTGAACCACTTTGGATTTTTAAAAACATAGTGTACTATTTTCTGATATTTTTTAGAACAAACAATTAATCTCAAAAATAATCTGAAAATGGAAATGACTGTAAAATGCAGACCCGGATTTAATAACAAGTGCTTTGTCGATCCATCTGTAGAGGAAACGCACTTTGGTTACTGTGGCTGTCACACAAATGTAGTGTAATAAAACAATCAAGTTGCATCATATTATTATACACAACTTGACTATAAAAACATTACAATTGTACTTAAGCACACTGCTAATGCAAAAACACTTTGCTGGATGTTTTTAATGTTATTTTTTAATGGACAGATGTAGAAACAAGGCTAACCGCCTGTGTTTTCTGTCTTATATTTCTACTTAAAGTACATTATGCCCCACCCTGCCACAGGCCACATAACAGCAGGAAGAGACCTGGAAAGAGAGAGGGCCCAGATGAGAGTTGAGGCCGACCAGGGATCAATTTAGTCCTCTCTACTGGAAACTGTCCCCCTCTCCCTCTCCCTCTCCCTCTCCCTCTCCCTCTCCCTCCCTCTCCCCTCCCTCTCCCTCTCCCTCTCCCTCTCCCTCTCCCTCTCCCTCTCCCTCTCCTCCCTCTCCCTCTCCTCTCCTCTCCTCGCTCCCTCTCCCTCTCCTTCTCCCTCTTCCTCTCCTCTTCTTCTTCTTCTTCTTCTTCTTCTTCTTCTTCTTCTTCTTCTTCTTCTTCTTCTTCTTCTTCTTCTTCTTCTTCTTCTTCTTCTTCTTCTTCCTCCTCCTCCTCTCTCATTTCCATTTCCTCTTCCTCTCTCATCCTCTTCCTCTCCTTCATGGATCTAAGCAGTCTGCTGCCTGGTGCCTGATTCCTCCTCCAGCATCCATCCTGCTGTCTCACCAGCAGCCAGCTGTTCCATTAAAATGGCCTTCATCATTTCATGATAACATCCTCCAAAATGTACCACAATGACATCAGCCCTCAGCAATCAGGGATGTTTCAGGCTGCTAATCACACATTTACATTAAGCCGATTATAACGCACACATCCGCGTGTAGGAGGATAAAGCGAGTATACATGGTGGCTGTGTGACTAACACATCGAAACATCAGCTCCAGCGCATTTGTATCGTGATTTCATGTCAATGAAAACCCACAAACCCCCCCGCCACACAAACAACCGCTCTTACCGTTAGGCCTACCGGAGAAGACCGAGGGTCGATTTTGCGTGAAGCCGGCTGAAGGGGGGTGCAGACGGGGCTTCGGCAGCGACAATAACAGCTGAGAGTCAGTGGAGTTTCTTCGGCTGAGGGTCCGGCTTCAGTGCAGGAGGAGGAAAAGGAGTAGGAGGAGGAAGAGGAGGAGGAGGCTGTGTTTGTCGGCGGTCCGCGAGGCAGGGCACTCCCCTGCGCTGGTCTCTGATAGCGACTGGATGCGGGATGCGCAGGGCGGGAGGAGCCGCCTGGTTTCAGGCAAAGCAGGCTGGAGCCGAGCACCTGTATGGAAATCAGGACACACTGAGGCCGGGCACTGGCTGGAAACATGCAAATAATGAGGACAAGAGATCCAAAGGGAAAACAGACCGGGAGATTTATTTTCAGATCACCGTGGAGGTCGGTTTCTATGGTAACTACGATATATTCCCCAGAGGTCTGCGGTAAAATTAGAAATGAGGATCAAAATCCCGTTTATTGCCAAGTAGGGTTTCATACACAACTAAAGGAATTTGCTTCGGAGAGCTGGTGCTTGGACATAAGTATCCTACTGAATATAACATGTCCCACATTACTAATGTGGGAATTTTTTTGCATTCCAGACTTCTGGAATATATTGCTATATGAAGCCAACAATAAATCAACACCCAGTACCATTCTGAAATCCCCAGGATGTGCCCTAATCAAACCAAAAGAGAAAATGCCGATATTACACTCATAAAATAAATGGTAGACATATCAGTTAGTGCCAAGTTGTCTCAGACAATCTGCATTTCCTAGTGTGGGACAGTTATGTGCAAAATGTGGGACACTGAAAAGTCTATGTTGAAAAGCCTCAGTCACCTTAATTCATGTAATACAAACATCTCAGGTCAGTAACACTCAAAGCTAAATGTGCAATACCATGTTCAGCTATGTTACTATTTATAATGTTATTGTTGTTACAACAGAAGATTTTTTTCTTTAAATTGAAGTTAAATGCATCAATCTGGTGCACTTTGAGGGCAACATTAAGAGATTTATGGATACAGCTCTCAACACTCATATGAAACAGAACTGTATATATTTCAATGATCAAAAAACCATAAGAATATGCTCACAACCAATAACAAATATTTGATAAACTCCTCTCTCCTATCTTTATCTTACCTAGTCTGCATTCTTGCAGGCTATTTTTTTACAACGTATGTTGGAATTTAATTCATTGCCATCTTTTAAACTCAGACATTTATCCCTAACATCATCCCTGACTTTGTCATATAACAGAGATGCAGCCACCACCAATTATTTAATATAATTTGCCCTTCACGTTAAATATCTAAAATAATGCATTAGAAGACTAAAACCCTGTAAATAACCATTGCTCTTGCACAATCCATGCCCCTCCACACATTTTTGCCTAACTGAAGTAGGCTTTGAGAACTGTCCCACATTAGGCTAATAATACTGTCCCGCTTTGCGAAACATGTTTCCTAAAGTGGGACGATGGAACATTTGATTGAAATAAAAAATATAGGGTATATTTACACCATATTATAATATGTTCTGATGAACAAACATATCATGAACACATCCTGATAAAAACTTGCAAGATTGTTTTATTTATACGAAATTTAAAACCTTAACATTAAGTTTGTCAAAACACTGTCATTGACCTTTGGGTAGTCTTCACCAGTCTTCACACAGGGTACTTCCTGTTTGAAGGTTGCTATACCCTCATCTGTGATTGTACATTTGAGAAGTCATGTGGTTTTGATCGCATGACATCACAGCTTGTGTTAACCCATCATTTAATTGACTCATTTGTTTGAGTTTAGGTGTCCCACATTAGGGCAACTCACCCTATTAACTATTTAAAAATGTTAACATGTGTAGGCTACAACCACAACTAGGCTAACTGTTGAAAAAATAGAGCAAGAAAGGAGTGTGCAAAAATATACTGTAGGGAAGTTTTCAATCATAGGCCTATTCCTTAAGGGACCCCTGCTATATCATTGAGTAAACTACAGACCCCTGACTTACATTAAAGGAAATGTTATGGATATATCATATCAATGCGTACCATTAACTGCAGAATTGTACATTTAGTCAAAAAAGTCAAACCAATATCTGAAGCTAGTTTATGTAAAAAAGAGCGAGTTATAGCCTATACATTTTTTTCTAGTAGTTAATACTCAATCAGGGGATAGTTTGTTTTTGATTTTGAACAACACATACTCGATGAATTGGTGCACATACTTAAAGAAATACAGAATGATCAAAACTATACATTAGGTTTATGTATTATGATAAACAGGTTACAAGTGATAAATCTGAGTAAGGTGTCTTATCTCTGGTTGCTCATTGACCCCCACTTTATATTCACTCCAAATGCAGACTTTATTCTGGTGCAAATCTGAAAGGCCTGTTTTAAAACCTAGTGATGTCAAAGCGACGGCAAAAAAACAACCTAATCCTCCTAATTTCATAAATAAAAACCAATGTCATAAGAAATCTCAGAATAATTGTATTCCCCCTACTCTGTAATTGGTACCAACTTGTTTATTAACAGGCATGTCCATTATTTTAGAACAGAAGCTAGGACTGCACCTCCAACTCTTACGTTTTGTAAATCATGTGAAAATAATCCAACTGAGTCAAATTGCAGATTGTGCCTTTATTGCACAACGCTTCTACTTTGAAAGCGAATTTAACCGACCAGTCAGAAAACAGTTGACAAAATTATTTTATAGAGTTTATTTGTCAAAACAGTTACCAGACACCATTATATTGTCCTTCATTAAACAAAAAGTTGTAGTTTCATCATTCAGGTATATTCATCTTGCTTGAGGGCAGCTGTTTTCTGGCCAGTGAAGACAAAAAGGAACCTGAAAAAAGCAAAGCAAAATACAGATCAGGCCAGAACAATCTGCATGACAGACAGAACTGCGATCATTTTATGCCTCAGCTAAAAGTTAGAATCAGGAGCTAAAAGCTCTCATACGAGGTGTCAGAAAAGTATTTGATTTGTCATCATTGGCTGTGTGATATTAATGTGCAACATAAAAGACTTACCATTCAAATAAAAGTCCATCACCAGCAGAATCATGTGGTAACTTTCACCATTTGTTGACTCGTGCATAAACCTGTAAACAGAAAAGCTCAGTTTTAAAAATTCACATAAAAACCACAAACGTGTTCCTGCATTTACTGTGGGAGCCTCAGCCAAAAGTTAGAATCAGGAGCTAAAAGCTCTCATACGAGGTGTCAGAAAAGTATTTGATTTGTCATCATTGGCTGTATGATACCATGTGCAACACTAGAAACAAACTTACCATTCAAATAAAAGTCCATCACCAGCTTTCAATCATCAGCAGAATCATGTGGTAACTTTCACTATTTGTTGACTCGTGCATAAACCTGTAAACAGAAAAGCTCAGTTTTAAATTCACATAAAAACCAAAAACATGTTCCTGCATTTACTGTGGGAGCCTCAGCCAAAAGTTAGAATCAGGAGCTAAAAGCTCTCATACGAGGTGTCAGAAAAGTATTTGATTTGTCATCATTGGCTGTGTGATATTAATGTGCAACATAAAAGACTTACCATTCAAATAAAAGTCCATCACCAGCAGAATCATGTGGTAACTTTCACTATTTGTTGACTCGTGCATAAACCTGTAAACAGAAAAGCTCAGTTTTAAATTCACATAAAACCAAAAACGTGTTCCTGCATTTACTGTGGGCGCCTCAGCCAAAAGTTAGAATCAGGAGCTAAAAGCTCTCATACGAGGTGTCAGAAAAGTATTTGATTTGTCATCATTGGCTGTATGATACCATGTGCAACACTAGAAACAAACTTACCATTAAAATAAAAGTCCATCACCAGCAGAATCAAGTGGTAACTTTCACTATTTGTTGACTTGTGCATAACCCTGTAAACAGAAAAGCTCAGTTTTAAATTCACATAAAACCAAAAACGTGTTCCTGCATTTACTGTGGGAGCCTCAGCCAAAAGTTAGAATCAGGAGCTAAAAGCTCTCATACGAGGTGTCAGAAAAGTATTTGATTTTGTCATCACAGGCTACAAATAATTCAAATGCTGACATATTGCACGGACTCACCAGGTCTCAAACTCAGCGAGGTCATAGCCAACCAAGAGCTTCCACCTCAGGAGCGTGTGAAACACAGCAACCTCAGATCTTTGTCCGATAGGCATGAAGCTTTTTCTGTGGAAGCCATCTTCAAATCAGATTCCTTTTCTGCTCCTTAGCCTTCATGCAAGTCACCCAGGCACCATTGCCAGCTGGAATCCATAGAGCTTACTGGATAGAGGGAAAGAAAGGCAAAGGTCACGAATAAGTTCCAGCTGCCCCAGTTGTAATATTATGTAACCATTTCGATCCTACACGATAACTGTGACATTAACACATATGCCTCAACCGATGTGCGTGCAACTGGAGTTTGTTCTTTATTCAACTACACATTCTTATGAAAGACAAAAGTTATAGCTAAAATCTGAAGCGACAACTTACTTGTTTTGAGTATAGATATAATAATCCTATATCTATACTCAAAACAAGTTTAACGTTAACTTAATGAAACGCCCTAAAAAACACCACGTGCCAGCTCTGGCCCATGAAGAACATCCACGTGTTGCTGGCAAAACTGTAGTTGTACAGTATTTAGCATAGACACAACGTATTCCACATCTCATCATAATACTCACCGGTCAGGCTTGCTGCAGAAAAACTGGATAGCTTTTCGTTTCCAATGGGTAACATTTGAAGAAACTGCTGAGTGGAGCATCGTGAGTTCTTTCCTGCTGCCATGCTGCATGTAGAAGAGGACGGAAGAACCAGAGGAGATGAAGTTAAGGGCTTCCGTCTAACGCGAACCGGAAATCCCTCCCCTTTTTAAATAACGTTAGCTAGGTAGCTATTTCCTAGCTAGCTAGCACATTTCGTTGGCCTTTCTGTACTAAAACTGAAGACATACTGATGAGACTTTGTCCTCATATCCCTTGCTTATCAAACCTTCAATTATTGCAATAGACACACATACAAACGTCATTTAAATAAAGCGAAACAACGATCAAAGTGTGTGCAATAAACACTGACATCGCAGGCCTTACATCAGAGCCTCATGGTAGTTGTAGTTTTTAAATGTCAGGATGCTAAAACAATTACACTCATTTAATGCTGGTTAAATGAGCACGTTTTGCGAACAAGTACAGTTATACAGGTTACGCATTTGTTTATAAGGGAATAACCGGACTATTCAATTACATATGTTTCGCACTTATTACGATTTTAAACTCTCTTTTTGAACTTTGAAACGTTGCAACTGCAGTAAAAAGTAAATTAAAAACAATCCCAGCCTTTTAAAAGTTAACACACTATAAACAACTATTTCAAAAGCTGCAATCTCAAGCCCCTCATTTAAAACAATGTTCTTAATCCAATATCATAGGGGATTCAAGGGGAGTCTTCAATCGATAATGAGTTGTATGTTTTTATGTTTTTAATTTTTTAAAATATATATATATACTTTATTAATCCCGTGGGGAAATTGTTTCTCTGCATTTGACCCATCCTAGTGTTAGGAGCAGTGTGCTGCCATTTTGAACGGCACCTGGGGAGCAGTGTAGGGAACGGTGCCTTGCTCAGGGACACCTCGGGAGCACTTGGTCTTGCCAACCGGTGACCTTCCAGTTGCCAAGCCAAGTCCCTATCGACTTCGCCACCACCCCCTAACTAGTTTCTGGGGTAAAACAACATTCTGAGTACATATTGGCTTTTTATCATACTTGTAGGTGCACATTCCATTCCACTTTGTGTTGACATGTATTACTAAAGGCAGACAATTTAAGTTTTTTGTAATTTGGGATCTGTTTTTTTATAGTAGTAGCCTATACTGTTAAGACTTTTTGTTTCATTGTGGCCAATCATAGTGGTACAGCATAGCAAAGAGGGCTACTAAACAGGACAAGTTTACCCAGCAATTATTTTATAATTCTGGCATAAAAAAAATGCCTTTCCTTTCTGGATTGTTTTTTGCCTTACTCTATTTAAAATGTTTAGTGTTAAAAATACTTGACTCCCATTACATATAATCTTTATAGAATGTAAAATCCTAATGTAATTTAACATTTAATTTATCGCTCAAACCAACCTCATATAAGTTACTGTAACCAAATGGAAAATGTAGAAGCTACTAATAGTTTCTGACAACCCTTAGCTGCTTAAATCCAAAAGAACAACACTTAAAGCATAATGTATGATTTTATTTATACATTTATTCCGATCACAGCTGTACAGGAATGCATCGTCACAGCAGAAATACAACCTAAACCCAACCATGGCACAACAGCCGTCACAACACTCAACCAAAAATGTACAGGCTCAATCAGCTCACCTCAATTCAATGTCTATAATTATCATCATTATTATTATTCACATAGAACCATCTGTCTTTGAAATATATCTTTGTTTTCAAAGAGCATAAAAATACGTGGACTCTTCATTGGGATGAACACTGGTGGTTGATCCACTGTGTCTGGCCTACATGGGGGAACCACTGAAAACTGGGGAGCTGAGGAGTAGCAGAGCCAATTTATTACAGCTTGCAGGGAGGGGGGGGGGGGGGTTGATTGATTTGAGGGGATCATATAGGACTCACAACTCAGTTTATAAGCTACTTCTGACACACTAGGAGCGACAGTTAGTTAAAAAACAGAAAGAAAAATCAACGATAAACATGTATGAGTGGGAGGAATAAATAACAGACAAAGTATAATTTTGAATATATGACAGAACACTACCGAGGCACAGAGAGATGCAGATTTAACAAAACAGACACAGAGGGAGATCAAAAGGGAGAGGGGAGACAAAATGTAAGGTGGGCAGATTAGAGGCAGTTTCACTAACCAACACTAGAGGGAGCTCTAACAGCTCAAATACCCAGGTATATTATAAACTCTATGTATGTATACTTGATGTACTATATAAAGCGTTGAAATATAGGATAATCTTTTAAAAACACTGTTCACTGCAGCAGGACGAAGGGATACACAGCATGAGTGTGCTTGTTTATGTGCCTTTGCATGTTAATGTTAATGTGTGTATGTAAATGTTAAGATTAATTTCCGAGCAAACCTCCATAGATGGAGCAGAACCAACATAGCAGAACACCAGCGAGATTAAAACCTGTGTGTGTTTGTGTGTGTGTGAGTGTGTGTGTGTGTGTGTCAGTGTCTCAAAATTCATAGACACACATCTACATTGTCTTACTGACCGTTAGAATAACTACTGTACGGGTGGGAGGACATTGACATGAGCATCAGCAGGGAAATACACACGCTCGTAACGACAACAACGGCAACAATAACAACAACAGCAACAACAACATCAACATGAAGAGAGACAACACACAGGTCAGGAAATCCGGTTAACCACAATCCTCCGCTCACACAGAAGATAAATAGAGGCTACGATTCATCTGGAAAAATGCATCCTTTTGAGATCGTAGGGATGGGACAGACTCAGAAAGCGGCCTGTCTGTCGATGTGCTTTTAAAAACTCTCTCATTTGTATGGATCTTATCTTTCTATCGATCTTTCTGTCTGCCTGTCTGCCGGTCAGTTTATGTGCTTCTTTTTTTTGCAAGCAATATGCTTTTCTTTTTGCCTCCCTGTCTGACTGAGTGAGCATCTCTGTCAGTCTGTAAAGATAAAAGGATGATGAACATGATTGTGCTTCTGGGTCCACACAGCTGTGGGAGGCGGCGGCGGCGGTGAGTCACTGGGCTGCAGAGGTCAGAGGTTGTGTGGGAGCGGCCTCCTCGCCGTCAGAAGGCGTACTGGAGCTGCTGCGCCACACGGAGGACTCCCTCCTCAGTAATATTGTACAAGGCTACATGAGAAGCGCTCAAGCAGGAGGGACACACTCTCAAACACACACTCACACTCTCAGAGCGCCAGTCTCAAGCCTCTGAGAGTTTTCTTGATACACCTACACATGATGAGAGGGAGAGGGGGAAAGGGCTTGTTGGAGATGAGGCGTGGGCCAGTGATCAGTCTAGCATTGCATCCAGTTGGTCTGCCAAGTCGTCAAACATGCTGCCGATGTCGTCCAAGATGGAGACTGAAGACGTTTTGCTGGAAAGAGAGTTTGATAGCACAAAAAGAGGAAGAGTTTAGCTCCTAATAAGGCCGACACAGCACAGACACAGTAGTAGTACATATGATGTTGACAGTGTCAGCTAGTTTGGGATTTTGTTCCCCACCATTGTTAGTTAACATTTCTAAGGTCTCTTAATGATTAATAATAATCCAGATGTTCCTTAAAATATATATAAAATAACCTCCTGGGTTACCAAACAGTACTTTATACTTGGGCTGTCCGCTTTTCTTTGTTTTATTTTATGTCATCCTCATCCTGAAAAAATTGTTAAACAAAAATGATTTTGATTAAATGATAGAGCAAACCTTTTTTGACCGTAGGGAAGTTAATGTTGTTTTTGAAAGGCTCGAAAGGTTTTGAATTGACTTGATTCCTGTGAAGCAGCTATGGAAATGCAGTGTACTTGTTTGTTTGTGCTGTTAACAGACACACCAGTTGCTCTTGTGTTGCATTTCTCAGTAAATAGCTCAACAGTGTTTGCGTCATGGCATTTGGTTATAAATACTATAACCTTGTTTCCTTTTGTTTGTTTTGTTGTAAGACTTTAAGACAGGTGTTGAAGCTACAAGCTAGCTGTTTCTCCCCACTTCCAGTTATTATGCTGAGCTAGGCTAACAGTATAGAATTGATCTTCTCGTTTCTAACTTGGAAAGAAAGTAAAATAGCATACTCATTAAAATGTTTGAACTATTAATTTTAGTTTTATGCAGCATATTCCATCCAAGCTTTCAAAGTGCCCAAAACATTGTCTATGCAGAAGATAAGCAGGACATCTCCTTTCATAACAATCGAGCAAGTCCTCTCACTTTCAGCTCCACATTATGTGAGGAAAATCTCTGTTCTGTCATCATCAACTTGAAGGCCATGACAGATATAAATGGTGGCAAAAAGCTGATTAATAACTTCATAAATACTTACTCATTTTCTGCGTCCTCCTCTTTCATTTTATTTTCCACAGCTTGCACGGCAGCAGCCAAGGAGGCACTGGTCTCCTCCAAGCGATGCTGCTCCTCCTCCCTCTCCTGCTTCACTTCCTCTACTTGACTCTCCAGCTCCCTCAGATTCTTCTCCTCTGCCCTTTTCCTCTCCTCCTCCTGCTCCTTGTGCCTTTTGTGCTCCTTCTCTCTCCTCCTCTCCTCTTCCTCTCTCCTCCTCCTCTCCTCTTCCTCCTCCACCTCCCTCGCTCCGATCAGGTCGATGGAGAGGCCGGCGATGGAGGATCGAGGAGGTTTGACCGGGTGTGGAGAGGGCGTGGAGGGACTCTGGGCTGGGGAGGGTGAAGTTAGGGGGAGTCCAGGGGAGAGAGAGGGAGCAGAGGGGGTGTCGGGAGCCGGAAGAGGGGCGGTGGGAGGGAGTGGAGAGGAGGGTCTAGGGGCCGGGATGGGGCAAGGAGCCAGGACAGGGCCTGTTGTCGGGGTGGAGCCTGGTGCCGGGGAGGGGCTGGCTGCTGCTGGGCTGGTAGCAGCAGGGCTCATGGGGCTCATGGGGCTCATGGGGCTCATGGGGCTCATGGCAGCTGAAGCTACTGTTTTCCCGGGTTTAGGGGCTGTCGGGGGTCCGCGGGGTTTTGGGGATACAGGTGGAGGGACACGCTTCGGCTCTGGTCAGAGGGAGAGAGAAAATGCTGTCAGATTTCTTATTAACGCATAGACTCACATACATAAAGATTTGTAAGAGATTAGTGCTGGA